GGGAGCCCGGCGAGCGCCGCGGGCTCCTGGCCGCCGACGATGGGGAACACTACCTCGTGCTGCGTGTCGTCCAGCCCCAAGCTCCGGAGGAATGCGCACTCCCGGCTGGAGTCCTACCGGCCGGACGCCGAGCTGAGCCGCGAGGACACAGGCTGCAACCTGCAGCACATCAGCGACCGGGAGAACATCGACGGTGAGCGCGGCACGGCAGGGACCCTCCCCCGCCCTCCTGACAGGTTGCCTGGCCCTCTCGGCCCGGCTCTGGACCCAGGGCTCGGGTACTGCGTGCAGGGTGGTGGCGGTGGCCAGGTGACGGGAGCTGGCCCTGGTCAGCCCCGGCCACCAGACGTGAAGGGACAGAGCTGGGCAGGGGTGGCGGAGAGCCCCGGGCTCCGGACACTGTCTGGTGTGGGCTACAACCAAGCTGTTCGCGACCAGGCTGAGCGCGTTTGTTTTTTAAAAGGTGAAGGGAGTGGTACACCACGGTCTTGGGCAAAACTGAAGACTGAATGCCCATTTTGGGATTAGTCTTTACCTAGAATTGGAGAGCAGGGTTGGCCTGTGTTAGCTTCCAGAAAACTTACAAATTGACCCTTCTTGACTGTCCCCCAGCAGCATTTCCTTTAAAAGCTAAAACAAAACCAAAGCCTCCCCAAAAGGATTTTGAGGGGGAGGGCAGTTGAGGGATTGGAGTCCAATAACTCCACCTGAGTGCTTAAAAAAATTGCTTTGGAGTATTATTAGAATTGTTTGGAAACAGCTTTGGGTTAAGTTGTCCCGTTTTTGCATGGGGCTGAATTATTAGTTCTGTGAATTCCTAATTGATCTGAGTGACTTTTGCTTTGGATTAGTGATTGTAAAGGAAGTTTGAAAGACTGATCACTGCACCTAGTAAAGTTTATTTATTTTACTGGTATCTTTATTACGATTTTATCAATAAGCTACATGGCTTAATATCTACAGATGCGTAGTTTATGCTTCATGCTTAGAGTTTATGTAATTTTTAACTTTAAGAAGTTTAAAATATACTTTTATGACAACTTGATTTTTCTTCTGTTTTTAACCCAGAAATCTTACAGTTAATGTGGTTGAACTAATCTGAAAAAAATTCCTTGTATGAGTGAATTGACACAACTTTGTCCTAATTCATTTTTGTCAACTTGAGAATGGAGCATTTCCTCTAGTGTGGAAATCCAAATTTAAAACTCAGTTAAAAGAAAGAATTTTCTCATTGTTTGGCCTTCTTTAATTTCTTCTAAGTAGTAATTTCATCTCTTTAGGAAAGCGCTTTATTAAATGAGTACCACATATAAACAGACTAGTGCAACGTCTGGTTTACAAAAGGTGCTCAGTAAAATTGGGGTTCCACATGACATTTCTAGAGTTGTTATTTTAGACTTCATTATCTTAACCTACTCTTTAGATATTTTTGAATTACATGCATACTTTATTTTTAAATTTATGCATCTAAAGGCATCTAGAAGGATATTAAGTCCAGGTATGTCTTGATCACTGCTATGGTCACAAGCACCTGAAAGAAGTGTTTAGCATATAGTAAAGACTTAATAATAAGTATTGTATTTTAAAGAAATGAATGAGTGAATGAGTTTATTATAGAAAACCATTACCCAGCCCTATACTCTGTTGACAGGCAAAAGCATTTGGCAATAATTTTTCCTTTATATTATGCATTAATATTGGGTAGAGGCTTTATGTTTATTTATTATATAAAAAATATTTTTATTGATTTTTAGAGAGAGAGGGAGGGAGAGGGAGAGGGAGAGAGAAAGACACTTATTTGAGACTTCCTGCTCCCTACTGGGGATGGAGCCCTCAAGCCCAGCATGTGTCTTGACTGGGAATCAAACCATCAGCCTTTTGGTGCATGGGATGACTCCCCAACCAACTGAGCCACACCAGCCAGGGTGAGGCTTTATGTTTTAAATAATGGATTAAAAAATAAAAAAAAGAAGGAAGATTCACATTTCTTAGAGCCAGGCTGCATACTATTACTGACTATAGTAGGGAAATGGAAAAAAAAGTAATTGTAACCAGCTATTTGGCAATAGGGCTTAGGAGGATTTTGCCCCAGAAAAATAGAATAGTATTGTGTGTTCTTTCACATGAAAGAAATCTAAATTTGGTCATCATTCACTTTTGAGAAAACATTTGGAAGACCACCAATTCTTGTTTTGTAGGTTCAGGATAGTTGTTTAGTAGGTTCAGGAGACTAGGTCAGGTTAGGAGGATTTCTAATTTAGGCTGTAATGTCCTCTCTCCCCAGAACCCAGTTCATACTATGATACTAATTTAAACGCAGAAATATTTAAACAGTGTTTCTTTGTTTCCCAAGTTCAATAAGTGATACTTCTGGGATTTACCTATCCAGCAGTTTTCAATATTGGTTTCAATTAGCCTGGAAATCTAGGACTGAGCCTTTGATCATGTTTAAAGCTTTCCGGGTAATTCTAAGATGCAGACAGGGTTGAGAAATTGCTGCTTTTGTTCAGGGACATTTTCCATAGAAATTCATTCAGTGTCAGAGGCTGGACAAGAAAACAGGTTTAAGTTAAATAGGGTATGTGTGTGCGTGCACATGTGTGTATAGTTGTATTATTGTTGGAGAATTAGTAAACATTTTAAAACTACATCTCAACTCTTTTGTAAATTAAATTTATCAGGTTAATATTGGTTAATAAAATTATATAGGTTACATGTCAGTTCTTGGTTCTGGTACAGTATATAACAAAAGTACAATATATAACAAAAGTACAGTATATAACAAAAGCTGAGGTGCTCAGGAACCATTTTTCTTATGTACTGAAAGATGTTCCAGACAACTACAATGGAAAGGTTCTAAGTTCATGAGGTTTCTATGAGAGGTTAGTTTCTTTAACCCACAGAGAAATGAGCTATGTACCCATGTTTTCTCTGTCCAAACACACAATGGGTAATATTTGCCCTGTAGGATTTCGGTGACTGTGTTAAGGCCGTTAGGCTTCCATGAGACCTACCTGCAACTTGCCCTATCTTTGTACTCAGTGTGCATTAGTGTTAGGTTATTCCTGTTTTTGGAATTAATATTAGACTCATCAGCTCCTTAAGTACTATTTCTTATAAAATTGTTCTGAGATTGAGAAATAACAAAAACACTTAGCAATGATAGTAATAATTACAACCTTTATATATTGCTTACTCTGTGCCAGATACTACTTGGCATCTGTTCATTCATTTAGTACTCAGAATAACCCTATGGGTAGTATTATCCTTACTTTAAGACAAAGAAATGAGGCAGGGAGAGGAGAAATGGCTTGTCCAAGGTCATACAGCCAACTTGACTAGCCATCAAACATTAACTAGTCTGGGGTTGCCTTCTGGAGTAGGCTGCCTATCATTGCAGTTGTATCTGAGAATGTACTTCATCTATCTGCAGTAGATTGGACTTCTCTGAGTAGATTATGTCTGTGGGAGGAGAAAGAGAGGGATGGACTAAAGATAATTTAAAATTTGATGAGACCAAATAAATCAGGATACTTGCAACATGTGTATCATAGTGTTAGTTAGGCAGTTAGACCGCAGAATGATTGATGGCAACTTCTTTTGTAGATCAGCTGTCAGCTTGGCAGCCCAGTATCTCCCTCATCCTATATCCAGCCTGCTAGGAAAGCATGACTCTCTACTTTCAAAATATATCCAGAATCTGACACTTTTTAAAACTGTTCCTGCTGCTCTTCTGATCTAAGTAGCCTAACTGGTCGCCCTGCTTCCACCCTGCCCATTACAGTCTATTCTCAATACAGCAGCTGTGGTGGGATCCTTTTTAAAACTTAACACATCACTCCTCTGCTCAAGAACTGCAGTGA